GAAAATTGATTCATATTTTGTGCATGGTGATAACATAATAAACTAGCTCCTAAAAACCCTTTGTTGATAGTGAGCTTGTATCTTTAACAGATCACAGGAATATGAGTGTCCAGATTGTGGTTGCATCAATTCCCTGCTGAAGGAGAGGACAGGAGACAATAAAGATTTACAACAAGAAGCTCGAGAAGTCATGAGCCAGTGTGCAGTATCAATCAAGGTAAAGCTAGTTTTTGTCTTGTGTACATTTTGCTGTTGTTACTGAGGAAGATAAAAAAGATTTGTGTCTTTCCAGTAACTTCTCAAATTAGAATATATAATTCCTTGCTCATTTGACTTATTGAATTTCAGGAATTTAAGGATTGAGCTCAGGCTTTGACACTCCTAAAAATCCTATCATTTTGTAGCATTTCCTAGCTTTGTATTGAATATGAAAATATTGAAATTCACCCTTACCTGGGAGTTCTAAAGTGAGCCAATAGCAGTGAATATTTACTAAGGCAAGGTCAGCAGTGAAATCAGAGGAAATGTTGGTTATTGATAAAGGTCGAAGCTGGTGGTCTTCATTTTACCCCTTCAGCCAGTTCACGCTTCCCAACATAAAGTTTATATGCATGATAGCTTCAAAAATCTTTTGGCAACATGATATCTGTGCAATTTGAGAAGCAGTGACATTTGTATCACCAAGTGATGTCTGTAGGTTATCATGGCAATTTATAGTTACCCAATAAAGAAATATACATAATAGAATCCAGAAAGCTATCCTTAAGGGTAAATATACCCTAGGTTAGGATATGTTCGTTTGGAAACTCTTGCTGTTGAACAGTCTGAGATGTACGTGTTTCTTTTGATTTGTTTTCCATGTTTTGTCATGAAAGGGCAATTTCAGTTTAACAGTTCAATTCATAACTGAAAGGACTGATTGTAAAATAGTGTGTCAACCCCCTGCTTTAGAATTTCTGGCTTCTCTTAGAGGAGTTACATCTGCCTTGATTATACTGAAATAACATCCAGTTATTTACTAAAATGTATGATTTGATATTCTTACTTAAGTGACAAATGAAATATGGTATGATTAGCAGGTTATTTGCATTTACGAAACTGCATTTTATCTTTTTCTTATCTGATAAATATAAAATGTTTCAGGCTGATACAAAAAATGGTAGTGATCAAGCATCAGGTACTGCTGATTCCTCCAATACCATAAGTAAAGCAGAGGAAGCAGACACAGAACATAGTTCCCTAGCGGATGGAGAAGACACAACAATTGCTGCTGAAACCCAAGGGAGTGCGAACCCAGAATCAACGGTGTCAGCACCACAAGCAACCAATCAGACAACTCTTCCTGGCAATCACTTGGCAAACAGGAATCAGGGTGCCACAGCTGTTGATCCAGCACCAGAGATGCTTATGGAAGGTGTTGCACCCCATAACGCTCAGACAAATCCTGTGTCCTCTGCTCCAGTTTCCAGCCCAGGTTTTATCTATAACATGGTCCTGTCAGCTGCGATAGTCTTATTCATTGGTCTTGTAATGCGTAGAATATTCCTTTTGGAAGGAGATACATCAGAGGAGCTGGATGATTTGCTACTTTGAACTGTATCACTTAACATTCTTTTAATTTGTGATAGTAAGTTTCACCACTATGTTTATTTCTCTGTTATTTTGTATATAATATTTAAGTCATACCAAATGGTTAAAATAGTAACTTCCAGTACTTTGCATATAAACATCTGCCCATAAATGGTTCTATGACCTGGTCTCTTCTTAAAGATATAGATTACCAATCATTACAATTAAAAGGCCTCTGCTTTTTAAGTTTTAATGTATTTTGAATAATGCTTTCCATTGTTTCCCCATATGACCACTTGCAAAGGAAAGTTTCTGGCACTTCAATTCCTTGTGTAAAGAAGGTACATAGGTTGTGAGTGAAAATGATCATTCCTCATAGAGGAAGCTTACATAACAACAAAGAAGCCAATTACTGCTTTTGTGGAATGTTTGTGATGAATTTGAGTTTTGATACCTCATTCATAGAGGTAGAAATCTCTGATTTAAGAGAGAAATCTCTATGAAGGGTTTCAGCACTTTTTGCTGTTCCCATGAAATAAACTATTTAAGTCATAATGCTTTATAATGCTCAATATATTAGTTAACACTTCATTGAATAAATTGAATAAACCTGTAGTAGTCTGCCAATTTATTGAAATAATAAGTAGATATTAAGGAGGTGTATATTCCTTCTAAGATATATTTGTTAATCAATTCTTTATAGTGTGAATGAACTGGGTTGTTTGCCATCAGTAAGTATAACACCTATATGATGCAGGGGAAAATCTTTTAAAGTTATTTTTTTCTATCTCTCTTTGTGTCAAAAATTATAGCCTAGGTAATAAGCAAATATATTTTTGAATAGTGAATGAATGTAAGCAGTATGTAACTCGTCATCTTGTGTAAAGAATTGCATGTTTCCATAACCATGAACTCATCCTATCCGGAATACAGATTGTTTAAATACTATGTTTGGAGTGACTGAGAGGAAAATGCAGTAATGGGAACTTAATAATTACTGAGTAGCATTCTTACTATTTTACCCTATTTTCTAATTTTGAAAATATGTCTTATTGTCATCTAGATACTTGAATTGTAGTCTTAGTGTATAAATGATACATCTGTTATGAAAATGAGGATTTAAATATTCCTTATTAGAATTCAGTTATCTTTTTTGTTTTTATTATTTATTTATTTATTATTATTATTTAGTAATTGTAGGAATATTTAAGATTTGTATACATGCAAATGGTTCTTTATTTTATGAGGAAAGAAACATTGTTTTTTATTTTAGACTTAGCTTAAGGAGAATTGTACATGATACAAGTAGTAATGAATATTACTTTTTAATCAAAGCTACTGTTGACATTTGTGTACATACAAATAGCCATTCACATTTGCATTGACATTCACTTTCACACATATGCACAAACATATATATGCATAAATACATATACATACATATATACATATATTTAAGCATACCCATGCACATATATACATGGATAACATATACATGAATATCTGTCTCGGTATATGTGTAACAGGCTAACAGAGCTTTCTCTATGTTGAACTAGACTTCCACAATCCTATGGGTTTACATGGTGCAGAATGAGCATTGTGTAAAAGGCAGATACAATTTAACCAAATAATTGTAGTTAGTCAGGAAACATTGTTCAATATTCATGTAGTGCTACATCATAATTTTTTTTTACAGTTCCCATGTAACATTAAACTGCTACCTGCCTTCTACTGGCATATAAGCCAAAGGAGGATGTGGCCTTATTTTCCACACTTATTTAAGTGATATACATATATATATTTTGAAAACAAGAAACTTATTATTACTGGTATTTGTCGTATATATATCCATCCTTGAGTTAGAACATTATAGACGGTATCAGTAAGTCAGTAGCATTACTAGATTTAACTCAAACAGTGTATGATTGGGAATATTTTCCCTCCATGGGCACCATTTGAACATTAGTGGAAAGGAAGGAATTTTCTCTATTTGTTGTTTATATTAATGGACTATTGGTAGATGGGGCCATGGCTTTATATGTCTAGTCATATATTCAAATATAGAAAGGCTCATATCAGTAATAGTGAATGTATGAGGTACAAGACTTTTGATTCTGTTTTGTGGGGAGTTGGTGACACATTTGCAAATAAAATTTTGTGTGTTATCTTAGTGATGCATGCCAATAAGTGATTTGATGCCATACTATAAAGGAAGAGGATTGTAAAAAAAAAAATTATGAAAAGATAGTGTTTACAATTTTGCCAGGATATTCTGTCAATTTTACCCCCCCCCCAAAAAAAAAAAAATAAAAAATTAAAATAAAAATAAAAAATAAATAAAAGAAATAAAAAATCTGATTTAAAATCAACATTACACAAAAGTTGCTTGAAAGAATTTAAGATGTAACCAAATATGGCTTTACTCCTTGTTTCATTGATATCACTTATTGGCTAAAGTTACTATGGTTAAAGGAAAATGGGTGAATATTAATAATGGAATTAATTTAATTAATGGAAATTCACGGAACACAATGTTTGAAGGATTATATGTATCATTATTGTATCAAAATATATTCATTAAAATGTTATTTGATTTCCCCATGTAGTTGCAATAAAGACAAATGTTAACCTATGAACATTGCATTTGATTTAAGTATTTTTCCCATTGAAGCCAATACTAGATGACTTGCACAAATGTGCAGCAATGTAAGCATTTTACACTTTAAGTGCTTTTGGATATAGTTTTCAGGATAAATTAGTCCAGTACATGATTTCAAACTTTTTAACAGTTCAAGCCAAAATTTTGGTCAAACTTTAATCTGGGTACTGCATGTATAAAATCTTTCCATCCCAGTAGTATGCAGGGAGTAACAACAGTTAGTGGGGATTTTAATTTATGATCCTGAAATTCCAATGCCAAATGATGTATATAACAGTCAACTCGGACTATGCTGCAGTTATTGGATTTATTCATACCATTTTTGTACAATAAATAAAGTCCTATGAACCTGCATATTTTCAGAGAGCAATCATAACTCATTAAAAGAAAAATATGGATAGGATTCATTGTGGCAAAGGTTAAATGAGTATCCATTGCAGTGAGCAACAAGTTTGTCATACATTTCACTGTTCCTGTCTTTATTAGAATGACTTTAATTATTCTGAAGATTTTGTCTAAACATTTTATGGTTTTGAAAATCATTATTACTATTATCATTCTTGTTATTATCATTACTATTACTTTTATGATCACCATCATCGCTGTTGCTGTTATTGTTATTATTATTATTTGTTTGATTTCATATTATCATTATTGTTATTTGTTTGAATTGATATTATCATCATTAATATAATTGTCATTATTATCATTGTTATTATATATATTTTTTGGGGGGTATCATTGTTATTATTATTACTCTCTTTTCATTGCTACCATTCTTCTTCGTCTCATTAGTATGACTACTACTTTTATTTTTATTTATTATGATTTTCAGTTGGATGTTTATCATTATTATTATCATCATTAGTGGTAGTTGTAGTGCTAGTTGTTGTAACATTGTTATTGTTATTGTTGCTGCTGCCGTTTTTGTTGCTGTTGATACTGCAATTATTATAAATTTTGAAAATGTTATGATCATCTTTATTATTACCAATATCTTTAATATTACATATTTTATTAATCATTCTTATTTTTGTTGTTACTGTTGTTCTTTTTTTTCATCATGAACATCATTACTGCTGCTATTGTTTTTGATGGCAGTAGTGAATGGAACTAAAAACTGCATCATTGCAATTGTTGTTACTGATGTCATTGTTATTGTCAAGTGCCGAAATATCTTTAGAGGATCTTCGAAGAGTAAAAAACAGGAAACCTTTATGGTTAACACGACTTAGGTATGTAAAAGGAAAGCCTTACATTTACGTGGTCGTGCGGGTCTTAGCATTTGGAGCAAGTACACTTTGCCTGTAGTAATGACATTTGCATTCATGGTTTCATAATACCCAGCAGCAAGGCGTTCGTGGTGTGAAAGGAAAGTGTTTATGATTTGATCTCTGTCGAAGCGAAGTGTGCGGTTTGAATAGTCTCCGTTATTTTAAATGAAAACGAGGAATGCAATTGTAGTCTTTGAATAAAAATACATGATTCTCGTGATAATCAGCGTTTTCCTATTAACGTAAAAGGAAAACCAGAGTAAATCCCAGAGCCTGGTCTCCATTCCGCGTCACTAGGTCAGGAACCGCTCCCAAAAACGTGCCGCGAGCAGCATTCAAGGAAGATCTGGTTATCTAATGTCATCTCGAAAGAGCCAGATCGCGGTCCGGTTAGCGAACAGCCAATGCACACTAATAACGGTGATAGCGATACTCACACAGCGCACGCATGCATATTTTGTGCATATACACCAAATATGTGCAGGCGCGTAACACACACACACACACACACACACACACACACACACACACACACACACACACACACACACACACACACACACACACACACACACACACACACACACACACACATCACATATGAATATAAATAAATAATAAATTTATATATATATATATATATATATATATATATATATATATATATATATATATATATATATATACAGTATATAGAGAAATATAGATATATTGTATATGTGTGTGTGTGTGTGTTGTGTGTGTGTGTCTATACTATGACGCACAGTATCTTTGTTGTATACATAACAATGATCGCATATCGCACAGCACAGCTCAAATAAGCACACGTTTGTTAAATGAACCTCATTCTCGTGGTGAAAATAACTTTCGAATTATCTCCCGCGCATTCTTGGGCATCGTGTGTTGTTGGCGGGCGTGGAAATTCCGCAGACTTTATCTTTAATTTATGATTGTATTTTTTGTCCTTGTTTTTTATACGGTGTCTCGAACAGGAGACTGGACATTAATCCTGAATATTCCTAATGACTAAATGATATCTATATTGATTATGATGATGGCGATAACAGTGGCTGTGGTAATTTTCACATGATTTCATTATCAGTGATAATAGTAGTAGTATAGATAGTAATTGCAACAGTGACAATAGTAATACTAAATAATGATAATCATCATAATCACAAAACTGTTCGTGACAAAAGTGATAATGATAATAGTGATGCAAAAATGTTGATAAATGTAATAACAACGATAAAAATAATGTTAACAATTATTATAACAATAATAGTGATAATGATAATGAGTGTAATAATAATCATGGAAATAAAATAATTGTAATGGAGAATAAAAATAATTATAGTAATAATACATAATATAAAAATAATGATAATAACATGAATAGTATAGTTTTATTACTGTTAATGAAATGATGATAATGATAATAGTAATGATAATAATGATAATGATTAAAGATAATAGTAATAATAATATGATGATAATAACGATAAGAAATTATATAGTGATAATAATAATAATGAAAAATGATAATAATAATGATATTAATAATGATAATATTGATGATGATGATAATAATGATAACATAATAATAATAATAATGATAATGTAATAAATAATAATGATAATAACAATAATGGTAATGACAATATTAATGATAGTGATGATAACAACGATATTATTATTGATACTAGTACTACTACTACTACTAATAATAAGAAGAACAATAATAATAATCATAAGAACAGTAATAACAATGACAGTAATAAAGAGAATGAGATAATATTAATGATAATAATAAATAATATAATAATGATAATGATAATAGTAATATAATAACAATACTGATGATATTAATAATGATAATGATGTAGATGTAGGTGATGTAGACGATGGTAATATCAATATCAATATCAATGAGGGTGATAATAACAATATCATCACTGATAATAATAATAATAGTGATAATAATAATAGTAATAATGT